GACCAGGTGTCCTCAAACTACGGCCCGTGGGCCATATGCGGCCCGACGAGGACATTTATCCGGCCTGCCGGGTGTTTTTGCCACCGCTGCCTGTCCTGCTTAGCAGCCGACTGGTCCCGGGCCCACAGTGCGCATGTGTGGAATGTGCGCCGCTCTCTCCAGCGGCCCTCCGACGGTCTGAGGGACAGGGAACTGGCCCCCTGTTTAAAAATTTTGAGGACCCCTGCCACAGACCATCAGGGAGGTCATTTGCCTGAACAAAAAGCACTTACAGGATATTAAAAAAAAATCTTTTCTACTAATTCTGAATGGATCAAGTGTGGAAGGAGCAGATGGGAAAGGCTCTAACTTAAAGAGGGCCGTGGTGCCGGGGACCTGCTGGCCATCAGGGGGCCATTTGGGCCTTCACAACTTGGGCCTTGGGGGGCCTTGAGGGGGAGGCCAGGGCCCAGCAGAGTCACCCACGTTCTCAAACGCCACGGCCCCTATCAGCCACAAATGGAATTTCTTGGACCCTGTCGGAGGCATTGGGTCTTTCTTTTGAGGACTACCTTTCAGGGGCGCCCGAAAAAGTTGAATTTGCAAGGCAAACGTACAATTCTGGTTGAGTCTTCACTGGAAACCAAAGACACTCTGATCTCTCAAACTGCTCGGTTTGACTTTATCAGAGAAGTATCCCTACAATTTCCCCCGTAGGCTGAGAACCCTGCTGAGAAATTTTAGCCTGGAGTGCACTTAGCCAGAGAGAATTTCAACACTGGGGAAAAAAAAAAAACCACTATAAAACGTCCCAATTGTCAGTTATTCAGTCCTAATACGCATGTATCTATCCCATCATCTCGTCTGGTTGATGAATAGGAGCGAGATGCTCTCCCATTATTGCTCAATAATGGGCCGTGGAGATGGCGTATCTTCGCCTTTATTTTTGCTGGCACGTCCCAGCCTGGAGCACATTAAAGTAATAAAATTAGGCAGCAAGGCGTCCCAGTCACTCCCACCATGTTCCCGTAACCCCCTCATTTACAACAGACAGAGACAGAAAAAAAAATTTTTTTAGAGCAATTTAAGATGAGGCAACACAGGATATGTAAATTCTGTTTTATTGGCAGTCAGGGCAGCTAGCTAATTCTTCTCAAATGCCTTAGAGCCTTCAGCTCACTGGCCCCAGCTGGGTCAGAGCAATTCGGCTTTAAGGCCACATGGGGGGAGGGGACCATCCTTGCTGTGGGCACCGTGGCCCTGCAGATGTTGTCCTGCCCTCCGGCCAGATGTTTCGTCCCAGTCTCTGATCCGAGAAGGAGCCTGTTAGGAAGTTTAAGTTTTTACCGAGTGGGATGACTAAGGCAGTTTTTGTTTTTTTAGAAAATTTATTGCTCCTCCTCGTTTTATTCCTCCTAAAAAGAAGTAGCTGCCAGGGCTCCGGAAGTTCGAGACAAAGCGTTTCAAGGGAAATCACTGACTTGAGTTTGCAACCGGAGGCAGAGCCAGGCGGAGAGCCCTGTGCAATGCAGTTGTCCTCCAGTCGCTGAGAGGCGGAGAGAGGGCCTGTCCGACGCAGAGCTCTCTGTTCAAGGCAGCTTGATCAGGACCCCCTCCCTGCACTGGGACAGGGATTTTGCCCCGTTTGCCATGAGTTATAGCAGTGCTCCAAAGGTTAGGGGGACCGGGGAAAAAGAAAAAGAAAACAATTGCCCCACTCCAGCCAGAGGTTTAAAAGCTGCAGAGCAAGTCAGGACTGGCCAAAATATGTGGCTTCTTGTCCCTGAACTTTCCTCTCGCCCTTTGCTGGGCTTGACTGTGCCCAAACCTGCCGTGGTTTAAGAGGGTTCCCAAGCAGCCAGTCCCTGGGAGTTTTCTGAAACTGAGCTCTGGGCCTCCCTGGGCTGCAGAGCAGGGGGCGAGGAGGAGACGGGGCGGCCTTCTACATGGCCATAGGTGGTGGGTGGTGGCACCCCCAGGCGGCCGATGGCCTCAGATGGGCAGAGGGGGCTATTTCAGGGCCCATCTGCAGGGAGTTATCAGGACTGTTTACTTGGATCTATGCGTCGTAACTGTCCACCGCCCCATCCCTCAGGCTTCTAGCAAATACACAGACTCCACCTGGGGGGATTCTCAGACCCTCCTCTCTCATAGGTGAAGGGACAAATGAACGCTGGCTCGAGGAGGGGAGTGGTGGGCTGGGTGGAGAAGGGGTGCAGCTCAGACCCAGAGCTTAGGAGACTCTGAATTCAGGGATCTGTGTCTGATGGTGCCCCTTTATGTATATTAAGGGCTCCCATCATCTCCATGCTTATGGGCCTGTATTTATCAACTGGAAAATGGTCTTCTTATCAATGGATCATCCAACTGGGGGTTAGCGCGGCTCCGTCTTACACATTGATGATGAGGCTGCTGCACCCACCTCACCTCTTGCCCAGGACTGGACCATGGCTGTGACCCCCAGAGCCCGGTCCTGACCTCAGGGAGCTTGTTAAAGATTCAGATTCCTGGGACCCATAAGACCCATTGAATCTGACTCTATTTGGGCTTTTTTTGAATGAATGTTTTTACTTTGTTTTCTTTTGTATCAAGGTAAAACTTGGCGGGGCACGGTGGCTCACGCCTGTAATCCTAGCACTCTGGGAGGCCGAGGCGGGAGGATTGCTCCATGTCAGGAGTTTGAAACCAGCCTTAGCAAGATGGAGACCCCATCTCTACTAAAAATAGAAAGAAATTCATTAGCCAACTAATATATATAGAAAAAATTAGCTCGGCATGGTGGTGCATGCCTGTAGTCCCAGCTACTCGGGAGGCTGAGGCAGGAGGATTGCTTGAGCCCAGGAGTTTGAGGTTGCTGTGAGCTAGGCTGACGCCACGGCACTCTAGCCTGGGCAACAGAGCAAGACTATGTCTAAAAAAAAAAAAGGTAAAACATATATTCAGTAAAGTACCTAAACCTTAAGACTTTGTCAATTAACTATGCCCCTGTAGCTACCACTCAGATCAAGATACAGAACATTTTCACCACCCAGAAGTCCTCCTTCTGTGCTTTGCAGACAACACTCATCTTCTAGGGGCAACTACATTTCTGACTTCCAATCTTCTCGGACATGTTTGCTGTGCATGAACCTCACCTACAGGACACAGGACGCTTTTGAGTCCGGCTTCTTTCTCTCAACAATATATATGTGAGATGCATCCATGCTGTTGCTTCTAGCAATTCTTTTCCATTGTGGTGTGCATCCCATGGTTTGAATATACCACAACTGTTGTGTTTATTCTACTCTCCATAGTATCTGGGTTGTCTCCGGGTTTTGGCTATTATGCTAAAGTTGCTGAGGATGTTTGTCTAAGTGTCTTTTGGTGCCCCTAAGCACTCATATCTGCTGTTGTCCTAAGGTTAATGTGTGGTTAGCTTTGGTGGATAACTGCCAAATGGCTCTCCAGAGTGGTTGTGCCAACTTATACTCTTGCCAGCAGTGAATGGGAATGCCATCTGCTCTGCTTTCTTGTCTACACTTAGTATTGTCAGAGCTTTTAATTTTAGCTGTTCTAGTAGGTGCATGGAGGTCTCTCCTTGTAGTTTTAATTTGCATCGCCCTGCTGGGTTTTGATGTTAAGAATTATTTCACGTGCTTGTTGGCCACTTGGATTTCCTCTTTTGTGAAGAGGCTAATCAAGTCTTTTAAAAATTGGGTTGCCTGTCTTTTATCCTTTTAATTTGTAGGAACATTTATTAATGGTCTTTTATCCATTTATTTGAGATTAGTAACCTCTCTAGGTGATGTAAAAACACTCAAGTCAGAGAATCACCCCTGGGGTACTCTTTAAATTGTCCACTTTTCTTGAAACATCTTTTTTTTTTCTTTTATTAAATTTCCAAATAAGCACATTTCCAATAAGCAGCTCACTTTCTGCCTTCCGTTATTCAGGTTATAGATAACAGTGCTTTCCTCCCCAATCCTTAAAAGGCTATATGTGGCAGAAATGGACTTCATATATTAAATGTGCCTGCATTTTTGTCAGCGAGTGTTGGTTGAGTATGGGCTTGAATTTGGGGAGGTTGGGGGTGTGTCCAGGCCAGCTCCCTGCTGCTTTGGCAGCATTGTGGAGTGAGGGGAGATGGTAAGAGAAAGAGGAGTTTCAGAACTTTGTTAGCTTTGGTCCCATCACTCCACTGGCCAGGAATGGTGAAACTCCACAAACATCTCCCCTGTGGTCCCCAACACCTGCCTCTCCCCTCAGCCCGGAGCCCATGAGAAGGAGGATGCACGTGCAGTCAGTTTCTTTTCTGTGTTTGGGGGTTCGTGGGTGGATGTGGACCTCCTCTGGGGCATCAGCAGGGACCTATTTCACATCCTCCCATCTCAACACCAACTGTGTAACAACCCGCCTTCTAGGTACAAGTGTTCCCATCCTATCTGTGCCACCCCCATAAATCAGAAGAGGGGAAACACGGTTTTGTAGTGTCCGGGATCTTAGAACTCCTGTCACCCAAGCCCCTCATTCTGTAGATGAGCGCAGTAGGGGGTACTAGAGACGGGGCCCGTGGGAGAGTCGGCTGCTCTGTTTTTGAGCAAGATCATCGCGGAAGGACAGGCATGTGCGCTACCCCTCGTGGAGAGGACTGAGAGAGAGAGGGAGGCAGGGAAAGAGCGTGTCTTTTTTGCCTTTGGTAAGGAAGGGAGTTCCCTCTTGCTGCTCTTCCCCTCAGCGAACTGCTACTCAGGGGCCCAGCGTGGCAGGAAGTGGTGAGGAGGTGGGGAAGGAAGAGAGAAGGTTCAGTACGGTGCATGCCTGTGTGTGTGTGTGTGTGCGTGTGCGTGTGTGTGTGTTTACACGTGTGTCCTCTCCCCTCCCCCACACCACCTGCAACTGGGCACAGAGGCTGAGCCCACATGGCCCCAGACGATGTCTACGGTGTCGTGACCACTCGTAACAACCTCTCACGATTTCGAGTGTGGAGCTGGGGTGTCTGGCGTGACAATGGCTCAGACGGAGATCTCTCTTTCTACCTGTAGGCTGGGTATGATGGTGAGAGTATCGGAAATTGCCCGTTTTCTCAGCGTCTCTTTATGATTCTCTGGCTCAAGGGTGTCATATTTAATGTGACAACGGTGGACTTGAGAAGGTAAGACACGGTTTCTGCGCTATTGAAACAACTGCACCTAATTCTTTACACACACCTGTGGGGCCCAGGGGTGATGTCATGGGCACGTCCATCCTGGACCAGGAGCCTGGATGGAAGCCCGAGTGTGGGCCAGGCGGAGTAACTGCAGGGCTGCACGGAGCGGGAGTCGGGGGCCAGGAGGAGCCTGCCCTCCCAGTCGCTGGCCGGCCCGCACCCCTCCTGCTCTGCAGTCCCGTCTGAGCACCGTTCCCGCATGACAACGCTGGGGAGAGTTAGCTCGTCCCCTCTGCGTGTAGGAAAGGGAGCACAAAGGGGCGCACCGACAACCCCGTAATTTGCTGATGACCACCTTACATTTTATAAACCCGCAATCCACTTGGAAATTCCCAAGGTGCGTTTCTCTTTCACTGGGGAGGACAGTGCTAAGCCTTGGAGACGAGTCCGAGCGCTGGCCGGCGGCTGCCGACAGTCAGCGCTGTTCACTCCCGCCTAGGAAACCCGCAGACCTGCAGAACCTGGCGCCCGGGACCAACCCGCCTTTCATGACTTTCGATGGCGAAGTCAAGACGGATGTGAACAAGATGGAGGAGTTCTTGGAGGAGAAGTTAGCTCCCCCGAGGTAGGCCTCATAAAAACAGTGCTGGCAACGTGGCTGTCACTTCCCCGCCCCCACGACAGATAATGCTAAAGCTGTTGGTGTTTGGCTGGTGGGGTCCCCTGGCGCGGCTCATGTCCTTAGTCATGCCCACGGTGCACCGCAGAGCTCACAGAGCCGGCTCAGAGTGAGGGGCCCCGGACTCAGGGCTCTGCACCTGCAGCCCAGCAATTAGGGGTGACGGCAGCAGGATGAGGAAGGAGAAGAGTGATGGCGTGGTAGCCATTTCTTTGCCTGCTGCTGCCAGGCAATGGGGGCATGTTAGGATGAAGTGTCCCAGAGTGTTGGCCCTGGGGGTGGGGACCCTTCTGTGCCATCCCTTTCATTTTATAAGGGAGGGAACTGAGAGCAGCAGGGCCAGCTGGGGCCCTGTGTCACTGTCAGGACTGGTCACTGTCTGGACAAAAACTCTCCGTCCAGTGCTGTTATCCCAGATTTTGTCGCTTCCCGACCTTCGAGAGAAAGAAGATTAGGTAAACATTCAAGGAGACATTTTCATTTTTATATCCACCCGGAGAAAGCTATTTCTCCCATTTGTATTATCCTAACTCCAATATTGCTTATCTGTGATACTCCAATTTTGGACTTTCCAAGGTACCCTAAGCTGGGGACCCAACACCCTGAATCTAACTCTGCAGGAAATGACGTGTTTGCCAAATTTTCAGCATTTATAAAAAACACCAAGAAGGATGCAAACGAGTGTGAGTACCACCCATCTTCCTGTTTCCTGTTTCAACGTAGACCTCTGCTCAGACCCTGGCCCAGCCAGTGATAAAATCCTGAGAATTCTGGCCCATTTCACAGAGGGTAGAGATAAGGACATAAGGAAATAAGAAGAAAGCACCTCCTACTTTGAATCTGCCCATGGGTTCCAGGAGATTGACTGCTTTGCCTAGAGGTTGGGAACCCAGAAAGTGACATTTTTAGGGAAAAACAGTCACCACCCAGGTGTCCCCAGCGGCATCATGGGAGTTGTCCTAAGTGATGCCCTGCCAGGCAGGCGCCTGTCTCATGGGAGCCTTTCCATAAATATTTTCGAATAAATCAATGAGTTCTAGAAGTAGCAATGTTGTGTAGACAGTAGCGTAATTTTCCAGGGAGGAGTGAGTCCTTTATTCAGATATTCTAACTCCACCTCCTCCCTTCCCAACGCCCATGGCTGGCCGGCCACGTCTCGGGAAGGGGGGGTGACAAAGTCCTGCCTTCACGGCTGGTGGGAAGTGACACTGGCTTCCAAGGCCGGCCTTGGTAATTTCTTGCCCTTCTGTTTCAGTTTATGAAAAGAACCTGCTGAGGGCCCTGAAGAAGCTGGATGACTACTTAAACAGCCCCCTGCCCGACGAGGTAGATGCCTACAGCACCGAGGACGTTGCTATCTCCGCTAGGAGGTACCTGGACGGGGACGAGCTCACGCTGGCCGACTGCAACCTCCTGCCCAAGCTCCACATCATCAAGGTCTGTCTTTCCTCCCGACACACGCACCGAACGCACGGATGAGGCTTTGCTTTATTCCGTTGTGACTTGTGTTTGGGCCAGACGTTTAAGTCAGCCTAAAACGCAGATGCGTGAGTTAAAAACGCCAGCTCGTTTCTGTTCGGGGCAGCCATGCTTCGAGTTTTGACACGTGGAACGTCGGGCTTGAGATAGTCTCTGCAAGTGCCCGGGAACTTGGCCCCGTCTTCTGCGTCTTTTTCAGCCTGGCCACCCCTTCTTCCAGCCTGAGGGAAAGTTACATGCAAGTGACTTGAGGGGCTCTTGGGTTATAGCTGGCATTTCACACGGGAGCCTCATGGATGATGCGTGGGACCTGGGGCTGCTAAAACGTGGACTCCCTCAGTTGTTGGCGATTGCAGGGGTGAACCCTGCAATCCTGCCCTTTCTAGGGATGACAGAGGAGTGTCCTGTCTGCTTTTAGCATTGATCCTCGACAGCTGGGAGCAGCCGACAGCTCCTTGGCTGGGCCTTTGCCATGTTTGGTGCCCTGTCTTCCCAGATGAACATAAGAGTCATGGGTCATGAATATAGGAGTCATGGGTTATATATCGTTAGGCTTAAAGACTTTCTAGACCAGTGGTTCTGCCATATTAGTAGGCATAAGAATGGTTTGGGGAGCTTTTTAGAAATGTAAGTCCCCAATCTATTGCCTGAACTTCTCGGGGGATCCGTGGGGTTTCAAGGCCGGTGGACTCCTTAGCTGCTGCTGCTTCTCGGCAAGGCCCCTGGCCTCTCTACCACGTGCAGAGGGGTTGTTATCACTGTTGCTCTGCCCTTGGCCTTCAGCAGCCCCAGAGAGCTCAGGAAGAATTGCAGGACTTGCTCTGGGGCCTCTTGGTTATTAAAGCCCCAGCAGGTCCAGAGCTGGGTCCCTTGGTATAGGGTAGTGGGATGCGTGAGAGAGAACTAGGGACATACAGGTCATTGACTGTGTGCTGTAATAACACGCTCGCTTGGCATTTAGAAATCACACATTAGGTTCACGCAGTCTACGGTGCTGGTGCTGTGGGCTGCCGGCCGTGCTGATGACTGCCTGCCGTTCCCTTGCCTCTGTCGATGGCCTTTCTTCCTCCTCCCTCTTTCAGTCTCAATCTTGGCCCTGTTTACCTTCCCTCTTCTCTCTTCCCTGCTGTGCTCGAGGGCACCAACCCGAAACGCAGGCATTCGAGCTGCCACCCGTCCCTCAAGTGAGTGCTTTTCGGTGCCCCGTGCCAGTGCCCCGACATCCAAAATTTAATGAAAGCGTCTCAAAAACCTGCTGCACCTGGGAGCCATTTTCCAACAGCGCGTTCATACAGTTGTGTTTTGAGCGAGTCCCTTCGAGTGAATGCTCGTCATGAGCGCTGTGGCTATGAGCGCTGTGACATGGCAGAGGCACGTGGGGGTTGGAGAAGAGCAGGAGAATGTCACGGCCACACGGCGTTAATCGCCATGCGTGTGGCCCCTATGGAAAAGGCTACTGCGGATTTCAGTAGAAGGGGCGAAATCCACAGGGTGAGGTAAAGCAGCCCATGGCTCCAAGGCAAGACCCAGCAGCAAAATCTTCAAAGCCATTGAGCACTCGAAATGCCAAACAGCTTAATGACCTTCCAGGATGCAGCACTTCTGAAAGGAAACGAGAATCAATCTAAGGGAAGTATGGTAAAAGACGAGAGAGTGAAGGGATTTATAATTTATTCCCCTTTCCTGAAACCTGGCGAAAATGATATGAAAAATAAAGTGTCAGTTTCATCTTTCGTTAAAACTACAAAGAGATGACAGATCACCAACTTGAAGGCTACGAACTCTCACCCGGTGGGTGGTGCCGCAGAGCCGCTGCAAGTTTCTCCTTATCTTTAGCAAAGTTGAGATTTCTCAAACGCCTCTGCTTGAGGGCTAGGGCATGTGGCGGGCCATGAGGGGACATCCCTAGAAAGCCCACTTTTGAGCTGACATCTGTAGGAAGGCGGAGCGTGACAGAGGTGCCATCTTCCTAGTCTGTGACCCAGCCCCAATCCACAGGAACAGTCTGGAGCAGAAGTGGAATGGGAGGAGAGAAGGCAAGTGGCATTTTGCTTCGTGGCTACTGAGCAGAGAAAAGAAACAAGCCCCCCAGCCAGTCAAGAGAGACTATACATTGCCCAAGTTTCATTTTTAGCCAATGGTGACCTTCTGCATAATCTGTATATTTTAGAGTGGAGTGGAGGATGCCCTAACCCAAACCCCAACCCTAACTCCGATGCATCCCTGGGGGAGAGCAAAGGGCAGTGTTTAGGGACAGGGTGCTTGGGAGTAAATATCCAGATTGACCTGCCACTGCCCTATCTCACTCCCTTTGTACCACACTATTTTTAGGCAAGTGGTGAGTCCCATAGATCTGCCTCATTAAAAGAGGATGAAAGAATCCAAGGGAGAATCCAATCTACACTCTCTGTGTAGATAGAGATGATCAAAATCAAAAGGGGAGGGAAAAAGACAAAGAGAAGGACCAAAATAAAAATAAAAATAAAAAGGCAGAAGATATATATATATATATATATATATATATATATATGAATGATCAAGGACTGCTCCAATAAATTAAAGAACATTCCAGACAGAAACGTTTCTATAGTCTCAAAGAGAATACAAACCTTTTGAAAATAAGCTCAAAGACAAGACACAAATGTCCAAACACATAATATCACAGATGGATGAACGTCAGGCTGGCAGAGCTCAAGAAAAAAAGGAAAGACAAAATAATTGCAGAGATAGAAGATCTATCAGACAAAGCAAGATGCAGAAAAAGTATTATAGAAATTAGTCATGGATTTGGAGGATAGGCCTGAGAAAATCATCTAAAATCAAGTGGAGAAGAACAGAGATAAAGGTGATTGGAGAAATCCTAGATGTACATAATCAGGAACAGAGAATAGGAAAAGAAAAAAGAAAAGAAATGAAGGTTCAAAGGAAAAATTATTTTAAATGAAAAGATGACCTGAACCTTCGGTTTAAATGACCTGCCATGTTTAGGAAAACATTCCCCCGAATGACCAACACACTGACTCATATTTGATACATTACTGAACTTGGAGAATAAAAAAGAACCCTTTGGACATATTACTTCAATAACAAAAACAGTAATAATAACAAGAACAATAAAATAAATACTGAAGCCACCTACATAGTGAAGAAATCCAGATGAGCCTCAGATGTCTTCATGATCACATTAAAAAATCAGAAAATAATGATTTAATATCTACAGAAAATTAAGAGAAAGGATGCATGACACAAGAATTTTATATCCAGGCAAATTGTTGTTTTTACCTAAAGTTCTTGTGCTGTGGTTTATTTTAGAGTGAGTAAATCTTTCACCTTTTACCCAAACTTCTGGTCTCTCATTTTTAAAAATAAGATTGTTGTATGATGAAAGAATGTATGTTATTGTTGAAATAACAAAATAAGATTGTTGTATGATGAAATAATCAAATGATAATCAAAATCAGAACCAAGGAACAGAGAAGATGTGTGATATTAGAGGACTGGTGCTAAACAGAGAACAGATTTAAATCTGAAACTGGTACTAAGACCAAACAACTGGGGATTATAGGGCCGGAACAGGGTCAGACTGTAGTACACATGGGTGCTGTTACAACCACTGGAGGGAAAGTAAGGAAGAGGAAATGGAAAGAAGGGTAGAGACATGCATTTCCTCATTTGTCATCATCAGAAGTCAATAGGTAGCACCTAAATTTAATAAATCAAGAAGCAGAGAATTCTTATTATTTAACGTTGCACGGGAAACCACTGGAAGGGTTAAGACAGACCATAGAACTTCTAAATTACCAGAAAGCGAAACAGAACACACACCTACACACAGAAAGACAGAAAACAAAGTAAATAGTATATTCAGAAAGTATAATATAAAATGAGATTCCATCTATAAGAAGCATGCACCTAACAGATTGACTCAGAAATGTTAAAATAAAAAGGTGGACAAAGATAAACTAGGCAAATGCAAACAAAGGGAAAGCGGAATTCTTAACATTAACATTGATAAGTTTGAATTCAAAGAAAAGATATTAATCAATTTCTAAAAGTCGCATGGTCCTGTATTACTGCCACACTGTGTCCATGGCTGTTGGCGTCTGAGAAATAAGTCCCAAAGGCCTTCTAATTTGTGGTCAGTCACATGCTCACTTCATTCAGACATCCCAAGAACTAGTGGGATGGGAGATGACAGAGCAGAACTAGCCTGTGTAGCCCTGGGTCCTTGTCACAGGTTGAATTGTGATTGTGTCCCCAGTTCATATGTGAAGGTCCTAACCCCTAGTACCTCAAAATGTGACCTTATTTGGAAATAAGGTCTTTGCAGATGTAATTAGTTAAGACAAAGTCACACTGGAGTAGGGTCGACCTAATCCACTATGACTGGTGTCCCCTTTGCAAAAAAGGGAATTTGAATGCAGAAACATGCACACACGGAGAAGGCCATTGGAAGGCTAGAGTTATTCTCACACAGCCATGGAACTCCCAAAATCTCGGGGAGAAGCCTGGGACAGAGCCTTCCCTGGAGCCTTCAGAGGGATCATGGCCCTTCCGACACCTTGGTTTTGGACTTAGAGCCTCTAAAACTGTGAGAGAAGAAGTTTCTCTTGTACTGAGTCACCCAATTTGTGGCACTTTGTTAGGGCAGCCCTAGGAAACTGATGCAGCCCCCAGTGCTAGGCACCTTCTTTGAGACCAGTTTCCTGACCGTACCCCACGTGTGGGAGGGAGCAGCACACGTCACTGTGTCTCTCATGTTCACTCTCCACTGCTCTTTGCTCACGTCCACCATCCCCACGAGGGCAGGGATCTGTGTCTGCTTTGTTCTGGAACCTATGCTGTCTGCAGATGATCTTCATCTTGGCACAATGATGGAAATCTTTAGGAGCGACATGCACAGGTATACGGGGTTGCAGGAGGTGAGGCTTAGCAAGAAGGAGAAAGAGAGAGGGCACTTTCCAGTGACCCTGGTCTCATAGGCAGAAGATCTGGCATCAGTCTTTGTTCAAATAGCACCCAATAACAGCGTAGCAGAACACAGGAAAAGAAAATTCCAGGAAACACGAGAAGCCCACCAGGGAACAGAGCAAATTCGTGCCAGCAGATCCCAAGGTCCCTCTATGCTGAGTTGGTGGACAGGCCCAAGCAGAGCCACCGTTTTGGTTCTGGCACCTTTGTACCATTTCCTGTACCCAAGAGGCTCCTACGCAGTGAAAATGCCACAGTGGGTGGCCCAAGCAACTGCAGGACAGCATCAGGAGGTGAGGAAGAGAGTCTATCTCACACCTCGAAAGAACAGGTTGTCTGATTTGATTGCTTACGTGAGTGGGTTTTCCCTCTACTGATCGTGCCCTCTTCCTTTTCAGATCGTGGCCAAGAAATACAGAGATTTCGAATTTCCTTCTGAAATGACTGGCATCTGGAGATACTTAAATAATGCTTATGCTAGAGATGAGTTCACAAACACATGTCCAGCTGACCAGGAGATTGAGCACGCGTATTCAGATGTTGCGAAAAGAATGAAGTGAAGTGGAGGTGTTTTCTGTCTGATCTCTCGGTTGGGTGGGAAAGGGTGTGTTCTACCCATTTCCCCCCAGTAACCATCCTTTGCAAAATAGCGCCCAGGGTATGAACCGCCCAACCCCAACTGATACATGGCCTTGTCATTTGTGCACTCACTTGTGTATCTGAATTATACCAGTATCTGTTGTTAAACACACCAATTGTCCAGTTTATGTTAATGTGTACCTTTGCCATTCACATACATTGGAATCGATGCTATTTAAAGTCATGTGTTTTGCATTTGCAATTTGAAAGCAAATTAGGTTTGGGTTCAGTTTCTTCAATTTTTGAAAAATTGGTCTGTCTCTGAGAGTTTCCATGATCATATATTGCCTGTTTTTCTCCTCTAAAATGTTAATTTTTTTTCAAAATGAAATTGACGTTTTTGTAATTACAAAATGATACACACCCGTTTTAACATTTTAAAACAGTATCAGCGAGGGTAAAAAAGGAAGTTAAAAAATCGTCTAAAATTTTATTCCACTTAATTACTGATAACTTACTGGTGAACATCTTCCAAATCTTCAGTCTATCGCCCCCCCTACCCCCACACACATTCACACCACACACGATTTCATTCACGTGTGGTGTCGCCTTACTTTATTTTAAAGGGCTGGTGAGGGGAGCTCTTGGTAATGCCTCGATGATCAAACATGGAGGACCTGAAATAAACAAAAAGATTGGACACTGCGGGTCTGGAGAGGATGCTTGGGGTTTTAAAGCAGAGGTTTTAGAGAGAGGTGGAATTAGAGAGCCTCAGATTCGCAGGGACCAGCAGGAACCGGAAGTCCGGAAGGATCTCCACTCTGCCTTGTTCCAGGAAAGGCAACGGAGGAGCATGACTATCTGTGTCTTTGGTTCCAGCTTTCTTTCCAGCACCTTCTCTTGCTCCCTCCCCTCTCACAGAGGCTGTGCCTTCAGGACCCAACACCAGCTGCAGCTTGGAGAATCTCCCTGCCCTGAGTTGAAATGTGAACCAGGCGACACCTTGATTCCTTCCGGTGGCCGTGCTCTCTCTGCAACCCAGCACTGCGCTTTGTCCGTGATGCTGGGGCCCCGTGGGGCCGGCCTGGTCATTGCTCCTGTGCCCTTCCTAGAGACCAGGCAGGGAAAATCCAGGGAGATCAAATCCATGGTGACTCGTCTTGGACAGTTCTGGTAACCGGTCCAGTCGGGGAGGAAGTGGAAACTGTTGACTCACAAGTTTCTGGCGTGTCTGTGGCTTTCCCCATGCCTGCCACCAGCCTCTCATCACAGCTTCGTGTGTGGGCCGGGTGGCTGGGCTCTAACCCCAGGCATGGAAGGGAAGATGTGAGGTCAGTTTAGATACTCATCAAGACCTCACAGGACCTGAGCTTTATCTCTCAGACTGTGTTCCTCTGACGCTCACATCTCACGGAAAACCCTTCTCGTCCAGTTGGGGGTGGCGTGTGTTTGATGCTAAAATGCTCCTTTTCATGTGTGCATCTGCTCCATGAGCCATTCATTTGAAAGATGGTGAAAGGTGTTAACAGTAACTACCCTGAGATTAAGTGAAAAATGTCTAGTAAAGGAAACAAAGTCTCGAATATTGTGGCCCCTTCCGTTCCTGCTTACTGCTCCTGCAGCTTCACCCTGGCAGCTTGCTGTCCTTGCCCACCACACGTGTCTTGGAGGTCGTGCGGAGCATGTGTCACTCTTGTCCGAGTTGTGTCACATCTGTTTAGGCCTCCGATTTTTAAATCTAGTTCTATGTTGTCACATTTAAACTTGGTAAATGAGTAGACTACCAGATGTTACTAGCGTTAACTTTGTATCTTTAGATGTTGAGATGATCTACATAAACTCCATGCGCCTTCAAAATTAAACTATAAAGATGTTTAAATGGAACCAGTCTCTTTAATTATTTTTCTGTTTTGTTTTACTTTGCATTCCCCATTTAGATTTAAAGAAATAAAATGAATGGTATGGGCTTCCTTTAGAATGAAGAGAGACGATTTGAACCAGAGATTATCAGTATTTTGAATTAGAGATAACCCATATTTCAATTGTGAACCACAGAGATATTTTCAAAGGAGCCTTAAGGAGGCCCTAATGATACTTGGGGACTGTCCTTGTCCAGGTGACTGAAAGAGAGGCCCTGCAGGCTGATCCACTTTTACATGTAGTTGCAGGAGAGGGGCTAGTTCTGGGGCGTCTTCCCTATAGTCCCACCCCCAGCCCCACCCCCACATCATTTTTGCACTCTCCCAAAAGCAACCTATGCGTGGGGAGGTGAGAAATATTCCAGGGCTGTCGTGCTGGTTTAAAATCTTTATTACAGCGTGTTTTTAAAAACAAAATGCATTTGTTCTTTAAAACATGCCATGCAGAATGCAAACATGGACAAGTAGTGAACAAAGCCCTGTTTCGAGGCTGACTGTGTGGAAGTTTCTCTGGATGGAGAGGATTCCATTTTCGCGTCTGGTTCCCCAAGAGGTTTGAAAATTAGGGGAGACGATCTGAATAGCTTTACTCGGGGACGCAGATCTCCAACACCAGGCTGGAAGAGAACACGAGAGCATCGCAGGCGGCACCGTGTAGATGCTGCCCCACGAGCCGGTGTGGCGATGGCAGGATTCAGGCCAGGACAAGACTTTTAGAGACCAGAGGTCTCAGTAATTTCCAGTCTACAGGTCTGTCTCCAGGGATTGAGTGTGTGTGCAAGATCTTCTCCCCCATGTAGGCAGATACACACACAGCACACACACAGACACACTCACATAACACACATACGTCACTGTCACACACACAGTCTCACACACGCAAGCGTATTTACACAGAGGCACGTTTGTGTGCGCACACACACACACACACACACACACACACACACACACACACACATTGCAGGAAGAGCTCCCCTTACCATCTCCCAGCACTGCCCAGTAACTCACTCTGAGCAAAATCCCACTAGCCCTCCTCAAGTCCCCACTTTAAGTGGTTCATAATTAGGCTTTGGGAGAGTTTTAGAAGAGTGGCCTTTTTTTTTTTAAACAAGAGAATTCCAACCCTTCTTTTATTTTACATTTAAGAGAACCATTCTAAGAACATATAATTCACAAAACCCTAGATACATAGAATGGATGCATTGAGGCACAGGGATGTTTGTCCATATTACAAAGTGACTTCTCTTTCCATCTGATGGTTTGATTCTAAACTCTTCTGTATGGTGAGCTTCCCTTCAGACATTTGAATTTTGGTTTAATGCTATAGCACTTCAGGACGTGCCACTTTATAAGGTCACATGGATGTGTGTGGTCCCCGGTCAGAGAGGGGCTGACTATATCGTTCAGGGCCTTTGCAGGCACCAGGCCACCAAGGAGCCCCTCCTGCTGCGTGCTATGTGCCCAGGACCCAGCAGGGCCCGTGCCTGCCATCGTAGCCATTGTGTAGGGGTCTAGCTGAGTCCTTGATGGCCCTTGATTTGAAGGAGGACAGTTAGTCAGGGAGAGCTGAAAGCTGCCATTTTCTGTCCCCAAACCTGTGGAGATGGCCGAGTGAAGACATGGTCCAGGGAAACCGAGTTCAGAAGCATGGAGTTGCACGTTTGGGAGGAGGGTGTAAGTTCTGGGGTTGGGCCACCAACCTGTTGTTCATGTCACCTTTCTTAGGAATCCTCTACCATCTGTCTTGCCCCAGTGTTCTTGCTCCGGTGGCCCTGGCCATTTCAGCCTGTCCTAACATCCCTCGTTTGTCTTGATAACACCGCCCCCTCCCATCTCTTCCTCGACCCCCTCCTGTGGTGGGTTCTGTGACGTACTCCTGGGTGACTGGACGAGGCCAGTGGCCCTCAAAGGCTGGCCTGGGAACACCCATGGCTCAGCAGATCTGCCCAGCTCTGTCCCCTGCAAAGCCATCTTCCCAGGTGGCTAATGCTGTCAATCTGAGTTAGGTCCCTCTCTGAAGCTCTCACCTTCTACAAACATAACTGGCATCTGCCTTATGAGGCTCTTCAAATCTTTTGGATGCCCTCAGGTTCCAGAATAATCCCAGGTCCCAGAAGGAGGGAAGCAGTCTTTGCTTAGCGTGTTTTGCTAAAGGGGTGGATTCAAATGGCATTAAGGTTTTTGCTTCTTAATGCACTAACAAGTCAAACGCGTCACTGGTCTCTTCTTTAGTAGGATTTTTGAAGCAGTACCAGTGTTCAAAAAGACAAAAGGAAAACAACAAAATCCCCTGCAGGCATAGGGTCCCAAATCTGCCCCCCAAAGCCTCTGGCATATCTGAATGATCATTTAATCTCTCAGTCTCATTCTTCTCATCTGGACAATGGGAACAAGATCTCGCAATCACATAGGGGAGTAACATAGAAGTTCTTCGCAAAAGCTGCAAAGTAGCCAGCTGCCCACAGTTTTTTTTTTTCTTTCTGGAATTTACTCTTCTTCTTGGGTAACAGCCCTAAATATAAGTTGCCAAAATGGACATGGCATGAATTTATAATTTTGTAGGAACTTGAACTTTTCTTACGGAGGTGGAAGGCAATTATCCTCTGAATTCTTGGTTCCCTCCAACAAAGCACGATCCCTGAGATTGTGGTCACTGACAACCTCCTTGTCCCCTTTGGTCAGTCACTGGGGACTGTCTAGGTCTGGTCCAGTTGTCTGTCAGCCGCACGGTGACTGGACAGCCTCCACGGCGGAAGGACAGCTCTCTGGGGGACCCCTCTCCTATGGCTTGGAGACACTGCTTTCAACGTGACATTTACTTGAGGCCCTGAGAAGTGGAAACACAGATCTGTCAACGTGGGTGGTCTCCCGAAAGCCAGAGGCGGTGGCTCGCCCAGGCCAGCCCCCTGCTCACCGCCAGGTGGCGCCTCCTCCCACTCCCTGGAGCCAGGTGGGCCTCGCTCCACCCTCCACTGAGGTTCACTTGAGACAGGTTGTCCTTGGGTTGTCCCCTCCGGCCCGGTGCAGACACAACCTTGGGGCTTCATCCAAATCCACCCTAGCACTCTGGGTATCGGCCCAGGGTGGCCTTTCAGGGCCAGAAAAGCAAAGGTAAAAAAAAAAACAAAAAACCCTGCTGGTCTCTGCTGTGGTTTCCAGGAAGGCCACACTCAAGTGGTCGGGTGGTATTTTGTGATGCGCTAAAGAACGTCTGGGGGAGGGGGAATTCCGCTGTGTCCTGTGGCTTTGTCTCGCCATGGAAATACCCTCAAGGACAGGAGCTCCTTGTCACGCCTAACTCTGACACAACTGGCTCTTGACACCCCCCGGCCTGTTTGCTGTTTGTGCGTCAGACCGGCAGGCGGTGGGGAGTAGATGGGCCCTGCCCCGCAGACCTCGGGAATTGCAGCCAGCTCCCAGGTCGCCCTGTGACCCTCCCCTCTCCTGGCCCGGCGGCCCAGGGCTCCTCCTGGGGCAAATGCGCCCGAGGCTCAGAGATGCGAGAGCGTTTTCTGGAAGCTGGGAGGCTTCTGGAGCCTGGGAGTCCTGCTTCCCGCCCTCACCGGCCTTGGCCACTGGGGCCAGCGCAGCCCCCTGGGCCGACTCTTCCTCTCGGTCCCCGCTCGGAAGGCCGGATGGCAGCCCCTGCAGTGGTCGGTGACAGGAAGCATCTCCCACCCCCTGCCATGGCTGTAACCCCCAAACCTCCTCCGTGGCTCCCGTGTGCCACTGAGGGGTGGGGGCTGCACACTGTGGGGTTATAGCGTGGGGGGACACTAGCTGAGACCACTGTTGGACCCCCGAGTGTCAACGGGGCCTCGTCACTAAGACTGACTTAGCTGTTCCTGAGTTAATAGCCAAACAATCGATCAATCCATTCATTTATTTCATCATGTGACTGTATGAAAGGCAGCTGCTCGGTGTGGAGCAGGCCCCTCCGCTGACCGTCTAGCCTGTGGCTCAGCTGTTTTGCCGAGAAGAAGCCAAAAGCGATGACATTACTGTGATGTGTCTGTGACAGTGCTGTGACGATGCAGTGCCCAGCTTGGGCCGCCACCACAGGTCACCTCTTTCCTGGCTCTTTGTGGATTCTGGAAGGCTGACTTCTTGCATGATGTCTTAGCATGGGAGAAACATCAGCCCCTGTCAAACCGGGAGGCAGCTCCCCTACAGCCCACGGAAAGTTGGACCGGGAAGGACTTTCACGTTTTCCTATTCAGAAAAAGCAGCCAAAATTAAAAAAAGAAAAAGAAAAAGAAAAAAGAAAAGAAAAAGACTGATCTTGGAATTTCCAGGAATGGGACTTGAAGTGTGAGGGAGGGTAGTGAGGGGGAGAGAGGAGGGGAAGGGAGAAGAGCGACCCCCCCTGGCAGGGTGGAGGTGGGTGTGGCACATGGCGCGTGGTATCAGCCCCACAGGCCTTGTGCGAAGATAAGATTTGCCTTGCACTGAGGTTTGCGAACTGGGGGACGTCAAAGCCCCCCAGATCTGCCTGGCCACTCTGGAAGCACCGTCCGGCCTGACCCTTCTTGTCATTTTATGTGCAAAGCATTTAAAATGTATGAAGTAGTCTTCTTAACATTTGGACATATTTTTCAAAAAGTGTGGACTGAACTAAAATGAAAAGAAAAACCACAAGTTATTTTAACAAGGCTCTTAGATGTTTGATTTTTAAACCTGTCGCCGGCTGAGGTGCAGAGGCCTGTTTTCAGGTCATGTGATTCCCTTCCCCGAGCTGTTGGCTTCTTCTCCCACATTTGGAGCCAAAAGCAAGATGGGGTGGGGGGTGGGGGTGCCTCGAATTCTCAGACAGTGCAGAGCAGCAGAACATGCTGTGTCTCCATCGGCTGTGTCTCTCAATGGCCTGCTTTTGTTTTATTTTTGTAGCTTGCAAATGACTCACTGGTCCCCGAAGAAAGTATTGTTTGAAAGAAAATCCTCCGGTTATCTGGTGGCAGTTCAGGTGTTGGGCAGCCTCTCTGGTGCAGACTTTGGCATGTTTTGCTAGCTCAGGCAAGAAGAATCTGTTGCCTTGAGTACAATACTGGAATGCATAAAGGTGAAAAAGGAGTAAATAAAAATGCTCTTGTCTTTAAAAAAAATTGTACAGTTACAATGGGAAAAAATGGAATAGCGGCCAGAAAGAGACCCAGGAATGTTTGTCATGGAAACCAAATGGGTGAGTGAACAAGGCATGCACTTCAGGATTTCTTACAGAGTTGCCGAGGCCGAGATGCTACCACAAATGAAGTAATAAAAGAGACGACGCTAGCTGGGTGCGGTGGCTCATGCCTATAATCCTAGCACTCTGGGAGGCTGAAGGCGTGAGGATTGCCCAAGGTCAGGAGTTTAAAACCAGCCTGAGCAAGAGTGAGACCCCCGTCTCTACTAAAAATAGAAAGAAATTATCTGGACAACTAAAAATATATAGAAAAAATCAGCCAGGCATGGTGGCGCGTGCTTGTAGTCCCAGCTACTTGGGAGGCTGAGGCAGAAGGATTGCTTGAGCCCAGGAGTTTGAAGTTGCTGTGAGCTAGGCTGATGCCATATAGCACTCTAACCCGGGCAACAGAGTGAGACTCTGTCTCAAAACAAACAAACAAAAAAGAGATGACGCACATTTGCATAGCATTTTGCAGCTCACAAAGCCTGCACAGGCACCGTCCTTCCAGGGGCCATGGTGTGCGTCAGTAATTGACAAGATGTCATGATGGCAGTGGCAGCCAGGTGTATGCCATCTTGCCTGGTGGTCGTGGAGGGGCCTTATTTGCTTCTCTGTCACTGAGCGGAGCCTGTGAGCCACCACAGGGACTTTGTTCTGCCAGCTTTGGGGGCCTTGCCCTATCTAGGGGAAGCGGGAAGTTCCAGTTAGAGAACTGAGCTTAACTGCTTGCCGCTAGCATCACGTGGCGGAGAGAGGGATGGCTGAAAGTCTTGTCTGCCTTGAGTCTTCTCCCTGAAAACTGAGGGCTTGGGTTGGACTGGTGGGTTTTTATCCCTGGCTGCATATTAGACTCATCTGGTTAGCTTTAAAAACTACCAGTGCTCACACCACACCTCAGACCAACTGAATTAGAACCTCTGAGGTTGGGCTTGGACATTGGAGTTGTTAAGCTCTCCTAGCAGGATTAATAGGCAGCGGCTAGATGCTCCCTGAAGTTATTTCCAGCTCCAACTCTCTAATCTTGTGCTGTGACCCTACTATTACGATACGGTGCCCAGCTTGGGCTGCCACCGAAGCTCACCTCTTTTCTGGTTTTTGTGGATTTCTGGAGGGCTGACTTCCTGAACGATCCCTTCCTACAGGAGAAACACCAGCAGCCCTCGTCAAACCGGGAGGCAGCTGCCCTACAACCCCACAAAAGGTGGACTAGGAAGTTCCTGTTCAGAAGAAAACAACCAAAACTAAAAAAAGAGATGAATCTTGGAATTTCCAGGAACAGGACTTAAAGTTCGAGGAAGGATAATGAGGGAGAGAGAGGAGGGAAGGGAGAAGAGAGACCCCCTGGCAGGGTGGTGGTGACACCACCTGGGTCCTGGGTTATAATGGCATCTGGAGGGTTCAGGTGAGGAAGAGGAGGGGAGGGGAGGGCTGCCTGCGCCAAGCATCGCCACTCCTGGGGAAGCCGGTTGAGATCAGCCCTGGGCACGCACATACACCTGGCGAAATGGGCTGTACGGCGTCCCCTCCAAACCCATGTCTACCTGAACCTCAGAATGTGACCTCATTTGGAAATAGAGTCTTTGCAGAGGTAACAGGTTAATTCAGATGTGGTCATGCTGGATTAAGGCGGGCCCTAAGTCCAGTAGGACGGGTGTTCTCGTAAGAAGAGGAGAGACACACAGACACGCACGGGGAAGAAGGCCACGTGGGGATGGAGAGAGAGGGGACTGGAGCGATGCAGCAGCAGCGGGGGATGGCCACGGAGCAAAGCTGGCACAGGTGAGGAAGGGTCCTTCCTTGGAGCCCTTAGACAGAGGACGGCCCTGCCCACACCTGGATGGGAGACTGGTGGCTGCCACAGCAGTGAAAGACTAATACATTTCTGTTTGCAATGGGTGCCCTGGTTGAGCGAGTCGGTGATTTAACCAACAAGAGGGAACGTGAACCCTTGGGAAACAGTTTGAAGCCTTGAGTTGGGGTCTCGTCTCTGTCGCTTCTGGCTGGATGGCTTTGGGAAAGACAGGTAATGTCCCTGGACCTCAGTTTCCTCATCTGTCCAATGCAGGGGCTGGATGACATCATCTGCTCTGTGTTCCAACTACTAAGAGACAGGGGACAGGTTGGCGTCCGTGATAATGCCTGGGAACGGTCCTCCCACACACAAGTGCGTCGTGCTCCCTGCAGCTCCTGCCCCAGGTCTGACTCTGAGTTCAGACATCTCTAGCTGCTTGCTGTAGGGATTCTTGGTGGGCATTTTGCTTTTCAGTGGAGCCACCCCCAAAACTCAGGATATTTATGTAGTCTGTGACTAAATTAGCAACGGCTAATCCTGTGATCACCTAAGGTGAAGGAAGGCTTAATCACCCGCAGCGGATCTGATGAGCTTCCTTCTCTAGGACACATTCTGCATGATCCACTAGACCAGGGGTCCTCAAACTTTTAAAGCAGGGGGCCAATTCACTATCCCTCCGACCATTGGAGAGTGCGCACTGTGGGCCCCGGACGAGTTGGCTGCTAAGCAGGACAGGCAGCTGCGGCAAAAACACCCGGAGGCCCGGATAAATGTGCTAGGTGGCCCGAGGGCCGTAGTTTGAGGACGCCTGCACCAGACTTTCCATCATCCCAACAGCCGGGTGTAGAGATCTCAGGACCTTCCCCACCGGCCCTCCACCCCTCATCCACGCAGCTGTCTGCCAGGCCTGCCTTTGAGCATTGCACCTTGGGGGAAAGATGGGCCCAGAAAACACAGACCAGGAGAAACCATGGAGAAAATACGGGCATGTTTTCTCTTTGCAATTCATGGGATGGTGTGTTAGCTTTCTAGTCCACGTAAAAAATTGCCACAAGCTTAGTGGCTTAGCAACATACTTTTATCATCTCATGGCTTCCAGGGGTCAGCAGTCTACACACGCCGTAGCCGGACCCTTTGCTCAGGGTTGCCCAGGCTGAAATCAAGGTGTCGGCGGTGACTGTGATTCAGTGAGGTTTTGAGGTCTGCTTCCCAGCTCACTGGCTGTTGGCAGAATTCAGTTCCTCTGCAATTGTAGGACTGAGGCCCTCATGTCTGAAAGACACACTATTCCCTGACACGGGCTTCTCTGTGACCTGGGGATTTGCTTCTTCAAGGCTAGGAGGAGAATGTCTCTACTGCCTCAAATCTCTCTGCCTTCCTCCGTGTCTGACCTCCAGACCCTCTGTTAAGAGACTCATCTGATTAGGTCAGGCCCACCAGGATAGACTCCTTTTGGATTAACTTAAAGCCAACTGATGAGGTCAGGCTCAAATGGGATAATGTCCCTAACACAAAGTCAACACATCGGGGACTTCAATTACATGTGTAAAATCTTTTCACCTTTGCCACATAATGTAAGCGCATCCCTGGAGTGGTGTTCCATCATATTCACAGGGCCCACCCACCCTCCCGGGTCGGGGAGTGACACCGGGCATATACACCAAGGCCTGGGAACCTTGGGGTCATCTTCCAATTCTCCTGCTGTAGATTTTGAGGGTCTGGGGTGACCATTCCAGGGAAGTCCACCGGGTCAGTACACAGCCTATGGGCTGAGATCAGCTGACAGAATGGCACCACACCGCTCAGGTGGCCCCAAGCCACACCATAGCCTTGGGTGTCTGCTGCATATCTTCTTGGCAAGCTTCCCCGGGGACACTTTTACTCCTAATCCTTAGGCTCAAACACCCATGGAGCGGGAAGGCATGGCATTTCTGCAAAGTTAGCTGGACTGGGTTCCCGGGTCTCTGTGACAAAGCAGGAATGCGTTGACCTTCAAGTCCTGGCACCAAATGTACCTATTTACTCAGCTTTTGCCAAAGGGTGGGGAGCGAGGGTGGAGCAGGAGGAAGGGCTCTTTTGCAAGTGGGTCAAAGTAGTGCTTTGTTACGATTTTCTCCTTGTCGTCCAGGTGGCCACGAGTCTCTGGTGCAGGCAGACAGATCTCTCTGCTGTGGCCTCCTCCGTGGTCAGCCCAAAGCCGTGGCATTAATTCAGAATAATAACAGCAATAATAAAGGTTACTATTCTCCTGTGGTAGAAAAGGTTATCTTCAGGAAGAAACAAAGAGTCTGAGTGAAGTTAAATGGAGCTTAGAAAACACAACAAAAGCCACCCATTCTTCCTTATTCCCTGCGTATTACTCATCAAAGCCTGTTTGATGGCTCCGTGTCTCTTTGCAGCAGTTACTGTCTATTCCTTGGCAGGGGGATACTCCTGGATTATCCATCCAAACCAAGCACAGTTTTTCAAGTGACAGGAGTTGTGGGGATAACGGATTTGATTTCTCTCTTGTGTATTGCAAGACACAATTCAGAGTCACAAGCCCACGGCTTTGAAACCGCAGGAACGCGGAATCTCTGTCAAGACAGGAATGCTGATTCGGGGAGTGGACGCAGACGTGTCACTCTGGGCTTGTGTGGACACAAGAGCCGAGAGCAGCCTCCTGGTGCAGTGGAAGGTCACGGGGCAGATGTCCCGAGACCAGAAAACTTGTCCCCAGGCCTCGGGTCTCTTAGTGCCAAGCTTGAAATTCGGCCTGCATTATCTCCAAGGCCCTATTTAGCAGGAAAACTCTGATTCTATACAACGCAGAATTTTCCACAACGTGTGTAACTGTGTCACGACTTTCCTACTTTCATAAGAAGCCACTTTCACATACATCCTGAACATCTCACAGTGAGAAGAGCTAGAAGGCAGCTGGCTTTCCAGTTTGGGTTGATTTGCTGGTTTCCTCTGGGAGGCCATCTCCTGGGGAGAGATGTTAAATAATGTACTGTCATTACATTTTACAAAAATTAAATTAAAATGTAAACAGTATTATTGACCATTCTAATTCTCTGGTTTTTATGTTCTAGGAACAAAATGATATTTCTGTTTCGTTTTGAGAAAGGTAAATAGAAATCAAGGCATGCTGATTTTGCTCTTGGCAGCTGCTTCACTCAGCAATGCTCCATGAGATAAGAAAAGCAGTTTCCTTGGCGGGGAATGAATATATAGTTTCAATCACAATATGTCTTCACAGCTGTCATGATTTCTATCGGTATTAATAAGGACATTGTCTGAGGGCTCTGGCTTCCCTGTTAATGTGATCTTTAAGGAGGAGCATGTTCCCACTTTGTCATAAGGATCAGACCCAAGAAATGTTCTCCATGAGTGCAGGAGGGATTTGACTTGGCTCCGTTAGTCATTCCCGGATGCTGAAATCGGTGAAATGAGGTGTGGTGTCTCCCACCAGGAGATCTTGATAAAGGACTCATCTCATCTCGCAGAGACAGCCTAGAGTGGCCCTGTCTGGCACTGGTTAGATCACACATCACAGTGATATCAATCGTGTTACTTTTCTGTGAATGAGGTTTCACTTGGTATTTCTCAGAAGTCTGAGATCCATTTTCATTTTTAAATAGAAGTTTTTGAAATGCAGTGGCACCCACAGTCAAAATTTGAAAATCCACCTTCCTGGGGCCACCACCTTAACGATGCCAAGCCAAGGCCCTTTTGCACCTGGGAAACTGACCTTCTCTGTTACGGGGAAGCCCTTGAGGTGTCTGCCTGCTGGTGTGGGGCCAGGGAGCACAATGTGATTGGCCTCCCCAGGAAATTTCGTCCTTACCCTCTGCAGTCACAGTAAGCCTTTCCAATTTTCTCGGGGAAGGCCGGCCAGTCCTGGCCCTCCCATGCTGTGTAATGACTCATACAGGAAGTTGGGATCTAGAACTCACAGCCTGGTTAGTGGTTAATGCCTGGAGCTAACGTTTGCGAAACCATGTCATATTAGGAGAACAGCAGTTCCTCGCTTCTCGGGACTCACTTCCACTCTCCCCATCCTGAGGCCCTCTGGGGGGACCATTTGTACAAGTGTGTGTGGCAAGATTAAACGGATGTGGGCCTCAGACCCACTCTTCCCAGGGGCAATGGAGAAGCCAGTTGATGGGGAGCAGAGCTGAGGACAGGGGCAGGGTGTACGATGGGTGGGGGAGTAGCAGAATTACTCAACACTTGGGTTTTTAATCGAAGGATCTTAGTAGAGAACAGTGGTTGAGCAGAAAACAATAATGCAGTAGACATTTAATAAACAGAGCAATGAGTAGGGCAGCAATGAGCTTCCATGTGATGGTGGAGGATGGTCTCCTTTGGCACTGTCTTGAGTCGACCCACGAGTCGATAAAGGACATTTTGGATTAATTTGGGCAATTAATTATTACAAGCAGTGAGCCCACAGTTTTTATTGTTCTTGAGGCACTCTTAAGATGGTAGAAAGGATTATTCGGAGATAAAGCATTTTCCCTTTTACAAATGCTTTCAGAGGTGGCTCAGTTTCCTTGGGTGAAGTGCATCAGCTTGGAGAGTGTGGTTTTGAGGCTACCAATTAGCTGCAGACGTTTTTTTTTCATTCCCCATATGTCTGTCTGCCTGTCTGTCTGTCTAGGTTCCCATCTTTAACTGGAACTGTAGATGACTG